TTAGCTCATTTTGTGAGACTATGCACCTAAGCACACACACAAACACACACACACACACACACACACATAGAGGAACTTACTGGAGATTTGTAAATGAACCACCAATAAATTAATAGCAGTCCACACAGCATAGCACAAATTCTTCTGGTGATTCGATGGCTTGGCCTCACCCAAATAGCTTGGAGTGTTGCTTGGGCAAAATATTTCATTCTGATTTATTTTCACAGATGCTTGTGAACTGTCTTCATGCTGTTCATTAAGCATTCACTTCTTCATTTCCAACTGCATGGTATGACTTAATTTTTCCATAAGGCTCACTCAGAATCAAGTCTGAACGGGATGCGCCCCGATAACTCATTGACGCCCAGGCAGGTTTATTCGATCGACCAATGACGAACTAGGAGACCACATTTTACACCGATACACGTACGTGAATCACCGCAAACCCCGCACCCGCCGCGTCCACCGCAAACGCAAGCGGCGTGGTTCTAGGGACAAGCCACATGGCGCTATCGCACCACACACGATTTCGCCGTCCCACAGCTCACGCCCATCGCGTATCGAGGCCGAGTCCCTGTCACCCGGCCGCGTGAAATCCTCACCCGGCCGGTGGTCACGTGAACCCGCCGCTATCGCAAAAACGATTTTCGCTGTGAGCGCCACGTAAGTATATGCTGCGCTGTCAGTGCCATCATCAGGAAGTAGCACTCATATGACACCTCATGATCTTTGCCATCAGTCGAGTTTACATTCACCCTGAAAGGAGTGGTGACGTCCTTGGTGCCGGTATTTCAACGCGGCGCAGCTGCAGCCGTGGGCCTAACTGCTCAGGGCAGCGGGAACATTGGAAATCCCTACACAGCCAATTGTCCCGCGAAATATTTTCTTTTGCTAGTTAGTATTCTTCATTTTTCTTGTGTAGCTCTCAGACGGCATTGCTCCTGTTGGTTGTCCGTGAAACGATGAGTACTGCCCGTTATTTCTCAGCAACATCATTATGATCATTCGGCAGATTCCTCACCGACACAGAACGGCAATCGCATTGTTTCCCAACCCCAACTTGCATAAATCAACAAGCACCGTGACTTATGTTTGAGTACATTTATAAATACCAGCCAACGAAGTAATAGAGTCATTTCGTTGGAATGACCACGTTTGTGAAATTTATCAGTTAGGTTATTGAGGCTATATATGAGTGGTTATGATTGGCAACACTCGATCCTTTTCCTGCCTCTCGTATTGATCCTGCCTCGGGGCTTTGCGGTGTCATGTGGCATCGCCTGTCTACCACCGAAGTACGAATGGCGGCCACTGCGGGCCAACGACAGTCTGCAGATAGTGAATGTACTCACGAATAATGAACCTCACAAAAGAAAAACCCCTTGCGGGTAATACGTTTGCCGGCGATAATCGCCTTTGCCTGGATTAATCATCTATGTCATTGTTAGTGACGCCGTTGGCTCTTTGGCCGTCCGTATTGATTCGCAGACGAGTATCATCCAGACAATCGCAGCAAAACCCTGTCAACCGACTTACTAGGAGCGGCTGCAAATTGTGTCGAAAATATTAGCTCACAGACTAGACATGGGCTTTTACGAAACAGGTGCCTTCGTCCTGACACGAGCAGCAAACGTCAATTTACCGGATCACCGCAACTAGCATTGACATATTTGTACCGCCTCATGTATGCTTGTTCACCGACTATATTAAAGGGACGCCTATAGTGTGGTCGCTACACACAGTCTACGGGTTATGTGCAGCGGTCATACGCGTAACCGTGCCCTTGAATCATGAGTGAAACCGTTCATCCATATGCTATGCATAACCGGGAATTTCTCCCCAGTTAATAGCAGCCATCTGGGTAAGCCTCAACCGCGGCATCAACCCGTAGCCCCCACTCTTTATCACCACTGAACCGCGCCGACCTCGCCCGTGGGCCCGCCGGAATCTCCCACCGGCTCACACCACTCCATCGCTGCCCGCGAGAAGTCCCCGAGTCAAACATCTGTGACGCATTTAATCAATCGAGCCAAAAAGCATTCGATTGAAGTCGTGAGAGCTTTAAGTCGCCCCCAAGTCACGCGCAATACGGAAACTATGCGGGGCACAGCCATTGACATTGAGCATGGACCTGACAACGACGCGTCCCGCCTCATGGAACAATATTCAGGCCGCACGATATTTATTGATCGGCTGTTTTACTCCAAACCATCCATTGAAAGACGTCGGGCAATGGTAGGCACACGGCAGCACGCCACGCAACACGACACGTCACTGACTTATTTGTATATTAAGTATGCTGTTTACTACGATACGATGCAAGCACGAAAGGAATGCATGACGCATAACGAATCAGAGAAGCGTACAAGTGCGTACTCTTCAACATGTCTTTTTCTTTAAGATACGTGAGTACAACGCAAGGTTATACAATAGAAAAGGGCTGAGGATCTCAGGAAGTCGTCGCGCCAGACTTACACGGCCCCCCATAGCCGTTGTCCGTCTCAGTGTCCCTCCGACAGCAGGCTGTCTCTATGATTGTGAGCATCCCAACGTTATAACTGTGACTGCCACTGTTTTTCGCTTCCAACAGGGTCGGTGTTTTTAAAGCGCCACTACCTATTGATCGTCCTGGTGTGTCCCAGAACGAGCGCTCGGGCCAAATGTGGCAAACATGAACCGCACACGCACATTGGAAAAAACACCATGCTGGCGGATAGATACGCCACATGAGATAAATGCGCCACATGATGAACAAACCGCCAGAGGGAGGCGCCTATGTCCAACAAGCCGATTGCGTAGAATGTAATTACAAGTGTGAAGGTGTGTTGTACAAGCCTTTGCCAACATCGCTAACCAGTCAAATAAATGGCCTAGAGAAGAGAATCTGTACCTACGAGACTTACACGAGATGGCCGGGACAGCCTGTTGGCGGTAGGTGCATATTACCACAAGCCAGTCGCGTAGAATTCAACATCGAACGTTATGGCCGGCTTTGCAGGCTCATGCAGCCAACCACTACAATGAAATGAGATTGGAACTGCGCTAGATATGGGCGGTCAGGACATCGGACTACCTTTGCACTGATAATGTACAAGCTGTTGAGGGAGGTGCATACGTCCAGAGAACCGAATGCGTATAATTCTTTGGGTGTGAAATGGTATGCTGATTGCAGGTGTACATACCTGGCAGTTGAAATACAGTCAGTGTGAAGAGCAAAAACGTGCACGCGTGAGCTGTTGGGGAAGGTATCTTGAAGATTACGCTAACTTTCTTAACAACGACTGGAAAATTATTGCTGGTTGATGCATAGTTCCGCGAGTCAGTCAGGTGGAACCGAACAACAAGCGTGACCATGTAAATGCCAGCCTTTATTCGGTCGAGCCGCTGAAGTTCAATCGCCTCGGGAAGCGACTGCGCTTGCGCAAAAGCGCGTGTGCTAGGGAGGGGAGATGAGCCCCCAATTTCTTCTTTATACTTTATCATTCGTCCCAAGGGCGTTGACCGTAAAGAAGCAACCAGCATGGCTTTCACCCTCCCCCCTCCCAACTTGGAGAACTTGCGTCGCCCCTGCGCCGATATGGGGGGTCGGCTATCGTTCTACGCCGAGCACTGATTGTATTTGTTTGCAAGATTACGTAGCGCAGTGCTGCAGGCAGCTGTATCAAACAAGGAAAGCTCATCTTTTGTTACGAGGCACCAGTTTTGCTACGAAGGACTGGACCAGTGACAACTGAGCCCCAAACACTGCCAGCCATGGAACAGGTCCACACGGGCGCGTGTGCTACTCGTGATGCTTTGTACACATGCCAGTCTGTGGGGCCACGTCATCGCGGAGGTCGAATGGTCGCGGGCAAATGAACTATGCTCGTGGGTTGAGCGAACGCAATCGTTGAAGCACAATGCCACGCGTCTTAAACGCGCAGACTCATCAACAGTGTAGTTAACGTTGTTCCGGCTTAAAACAAGGGCACCACAGGCATATATATATATATATATATATATATATACATATATATATATATATATATATATATATATATATATATATATATATATATGTGTGTGTGTGTGTGTGTGTGTGTGTGTGTGTGTGTGTGTGTGTGTGTGTGTGTGTGTGTGTGTGTGTGTGTGTGTTGTGTGTGTGTGTGTGTGTGTGTGTGTGTGTGTGTTGTGTGTGTGTGTGTGTGTGTGTGTATGTATACATTTATATATATTGTGATCTGCACCCTGGTTTGACTATTAGTAATCCTACCGACATGCCTTTTTGACTTTCAGCATAGAAACGCACACAAACTCCTCAAGACCACAACACGCATGGCTTGACATTCGCAATGATTGCGCAAACAGGTATGGAGCGGCTGTCGGCTCCGCGCACAGGTAAGGACAGAGCACGACTGGCCCCCGTAGGTCACGTGGCGCGGTGGCACGCACTGCAGCAGACAACAGACCTGCCAACCACTCACCCCTCATTCGCACCACTGGCGGCGGCGCGGCCACAGGTGGAAAGACCGTGAGGCCGAAGAACATTGTAATGGCTAATTGCTAATTAATGTTGCCCCGCACATCATCGTACTCATCGTCAAGTTATACACCACCGACTTACTGGTCATATATGCCTGCCACTAAAACAATTGTTAGTTTTGGGTATGAATATAGCCCGGTGTTCTTGCCGGCAATTTGGGACTATTTCTCGTGAGTACGTCTTCATTTTCATACCATGGCAATTGGAAGGTGTTCCGCCCAGGCTTGCATGGCACATCATCATATTCGCCATAGAATTCAACGCAATCGGATTGCTGGTCATATACACCTATTATATAGCATGTACAAAGCTAACAGATTTTTCATTAGCAGTACGAATATTTCGATGCTCCGGTTACCCGTCAGTGTGACGTTTGACGTTTAGCGGCCCACCACGCATTGAAGTTTGCAGCCAGTGACGTCATGCTAACGTTAAGCGAAGATGAAGCGAGACTCGCCAGCGACTTTCCTTTTCTTACGGGGCCTTGTATCATCACAAACACTTTTATCCAAAAGCTAACTTGGTGGGTCGTAGCGCGTACAGGCGGCGCTTGGTACGTTTTGTAACCCTAACATATAATGTGTGGACCTCGAAAACGTCTGTTCATCCGTAAACATATAGCTTTGAAAAACCCAGCATCAGTTTGTTTACATTGTAGCTGGGTCCAGCTACCTCATATTGCGAAGAACTTGGTATTTGTGTTGCTGCTTTGGGTACATATACACCAACCTGACTAAAGATAACTGTTGCCATCATCGATGTTAATCATTATTCATGTTAATGACCCATAAAGCTCTGTCGTCAGTCTGAATGGGCCTCTTGCTCTGCCAGTTCTTGACCCTGTGTGTGAGCTGGTGACATATTTCAGCAAGAGTTTGGTGGTGTGGCTTGTGCAATATGGCAGAGTGCCCTTGTCACCAAAAAGTTTATATTTAAACAGAACAAACAGCACAGGTATCAAGTTGTATCATTTTGCAGGGGCCCTGCCCCACCCCCTATGTTAAGTTGTGCTTCCCAATGTTGGCTCGGCACCCCCAATGCTGTTGGCTAGAATACTACAGGAAACATAGGTAGAAAGATGACCATAATACTAAGACTTCTTTGATGTTTCTGGAAGTGGCATTAATACTACTTCATAACAAAAAGTCATAGTTGCTGTCACCACCATTAAAACCATAGGAGCTGAGCAGATAAATGATGCATAAACTTTATATGCAAAGGGCCATAAGACACATAATGGTTTGTCAGGCCAAAGTGAAAAGCTCTGGGACATGGAGATGACCTAAGTCCATGGCAGTCAGAAGAGTGCCATGGGTGCCCTAAGGTGGCCTCTGGAGGGGGCCTTCACTTGCCTAACAGAAGAGATGTATGCATCCAGTGCCTGCTGCGTGGGTCCACCCTTGCATGGCTTCAGTGCTGCTTTAATTAAAGAGGTGTCAGTTAAACAAAGACTAAAAACATCTTGCCTTAATCAACATGAAGGGGGCTAAATGTGGTAAGAAAAAATGGGGTGTTTAGTTGTCCTGTCTTTGGTTTTCATCCCCCCAATAATTTACAAGAAGTGCCACCCCACAAAACAGTATCAAGCAGATAAGCTTTGGAAAATATTGGCAGCAGCCAAAGAGTGAGTAGGATCACTGTGACTGCATAGGAGCTGCCTATATATTAGAATTTACGTGGAAAGGAAAAGGATTTTCAGGTGAAGTGTAACTGGCTAGGCAGTTGCATTTACACTTATCCATGGTCAGGGCTTGACCACCTTTCTATGCCCACCCATGGTACTGAGATCCATGTTGCCCTGTCACATGTCCATTTTGTTTTCACGGGCACCGGGAAAAGCAGAAAACGGAAGGCGCACGTCTTCCGTAAAGGCATACAATCACAGGCAGGCATTATGAATACATTGCTTTTCTTCTCAATGTCTAACTGAGTTAACTGAGTGTGTAAAAGGTCATCTGTATACTGTTCATGCATGGAGAGGGAGAGTTTCTTTATGTAAAGAACCAAAACCTAGCAACAGGCTGGAGGGGGGGGGGGGGGAGACGCTGAGCAGCGTAATATCACACTTTGGTACAATTACATTACAAATCATGGGATAATTTAAAGCCCTGAAATGTGATGTCATTTAATTCTTGGGGTGACAAGCAACAGGCTGGTCTCTGTTTCACATGTCTAGCTCAGTAAGTGGTCAGACAGACATTACCCTCTTGGAGGACACGGTGCTTAGCAGAGTGTAACCGGGGCTGGGGGGGGGGGGGGGGGGGGGGCGAGTGGTCCATTCAGCATATCCAGTGTGTAAGCTGTGTGTGTGCATGTGTGTGCATGTGTACGTGTGCATGCACGTGTGCGGAAATGACCGCACATGCGTAATGGGCGTCATGGACGGCTTTTAAGTCCTGATGTGCTTACAGTTGTTACACCTCCCATGTGCATATTACCTGTGCCAGAATGTTGGCTGTGTGAATCATGAAGGAGGCGTGCTCTGAGGTGTGCTCTGATGTGTGCTCAGATATGTGCTCTGAAGTGTGCTCTGAGGTATACTCTTAGGTGCACTTCGAGGTGTGCTCAGGTATGTGCTCTGAGGTGTGCTCTGAGGTGTGCTCATTGGCATGCTCTGAGGTGCACTCTGAGGTGTGCTCTGAGGTGTGCTCTGAGGTCTGCTCTGAGGTGTGCTTTGAGGTATGCTCTGAGGTATGCTCAGAGTTGTGCATGTGCCAGCTGATGAGATTTTGGCATTGTCATTACAGCTGTACTCCTGATGGCTGCGTCAGGCCCCGTCTCCAGGTCCATCCAATCTAAACTGTCCCAGCTGAAGCCCAGCCATCTGGAGGTGAGGAGCCTAACTTGCCTGTTGCCTGGGTTTCTAGTAGGGGTGACGCTGTCTGCAATTGACATCCAATAAGTGGTCCTGTGTTGCTTTTTGAGTGCTTGTCAACACTTGTGTAATACTAGTAGGCAGCAGCATTGTGTTTTTGATGCAAATTACGAAAACTAAAAAAGGCAGCCTCGTCTGCCTGTCATGCGGCCAGCGCTGGTGACACTCCGCGAGAAAGTCTTTGCGTGACGTCACCACCTCCCGCGTGCCTCAGGTCATCAACGAGTCGTTTATGCACAACGTGCCAAAAGGATCGGAGACGCACTTCAAGGTGGTGGTGGTCAGCGAGGCGTTCAGCAGGAAGCCGCCCATCCAGGTTGGTGCCAACACGTGTTAACTGACGTGAATTGAAACCACCTATCATGAGCCATTGCAAAAAAGCAGTTTTCGACTGGTGTCACACGACTTCTGCTGGTGCCAGCCAGTGTCATTTGTTACTAGCTGGTGTCACCGGCAGCCAGCTAGTGCTGTACGGCTTATCGTCTTCTCTCTCCAAACCTCAGTTGTAGTCGGCGCGCCCCACAGCCCCAATCATCATCATCATCATCGCCTTCCTCATCCGCCCCTGGCGCTCTTACGCTCACGTTTCGGGAGTCGCGGCGGCTTTCCTGGCTATGTCGTGCGCAGCAGCCAGCTGGGGTCTTTGAATTGGCACCTCACACAGTGCGCCGCTATGACTCCTGCTCCACCCGTTCTGACCTGACCTGACCTGACCGGACCGGCAGCGTCACCGCCTGGTGAACGGCCTGCTGCGGGACGAGCTGGCCGCCGGTGTACACGCCCTCTCTATCGTGGTGAGAGAGGCGGACCCGCAGGCGGGCCCGGCACGGGCGCCTCCGCGGAGGCCGGCCCGCGGGCGGCGCGGACCACTGTGTCAAGCGTTTTTGGGTTCATTGTCGTAGTTGCTTCGCTTTATGGACAACCCGTTAAGGGGATTTATGGATCTTGTTGTTGTTGAAGAGAACGCGATGCACATCGACACGTCTGTTACGGACCGCTAGCGACTGCATTGACCATATTAGCGCTCAGGAGTCGCAGGGCAACCTGGATTCGGACCCGGGCTCCCGACGTGGGAGTCTGGTGCACTGACCACTCGTCCATTGCGACCCGGGGAAGGGCATTTATGGATGGTGGAATTTTGTCGTTATGGGGATGTATTTGCAGCAGCTTGTGTAAAGGTCTTGATTTCATCGTCATTCGGCTCGTTTCCGTACATGCGTATCTCTGTCAATCGTTCCAAAATGGACTTGATCGCAACACCGTCTCAGTCACCGGGTCTGTGGGCCTGGAGCTGGACGCGCTGCCGACTGACGCCGATCGCGTGACCCCGCCGGCAGGCCAAGACTCCGGAGCAGTGGGCGGCGGCGGAGGGCGGTGTGTCGCCCAGCCCCAAGTGTCTGGGCGGCTTCGGCAAGTAATGCTCACCGACGGCCGCTGCAGTGTCCGCTGTGCCGGCGAGTAGTGCGCCCGGTGGCACAGTGGCATCGGCTAGTGCTCAGGGTGGCTGATGGTGACTGCTAGCGTGTAGCGATAGTGATCGTAGTGTCTGATAGTGCACCACACTGGTTACGTGGAATGCGGCGTTCGGCGCCGGTGAGTGACGGGTAGTGTCGCTCTGCGGCGGCAGCGCGCGATAGTGTCGTTCGCCGCCCCGCTGCATGGACTGGCTGCGGCTGCGGCTGGCCAGGCTGGAGCTAGACCAACGCGTGACGCGGGAGCGCGACAGCCTGCGGCGACCGGCGGCGCTCGGTGACGTCATGCCGGCCGACGGTGACGTCACGGGCGCGGACGGCGGGGCCGCGCCGCCCAGCAGCGACGTGGCGTTCGAGGACGGCCGAGCCCCCCACGATTCAGGCGGCGCTCGGTCACCCAGTGACGTCACCCCCACGCCGTGTGACGTCACACCGGGCGACAGCGGCGCGTCGTCGTCGTCGGAAGACTGGCAGACGGAGGACGCTGCGACACTCGTGACGCGCTGTCGGCGCCAGCGGCAGGAGCTGCGCGGCCTCAAGCGGCGCCTGGCTCGGCTGGAGCGGGAGAACGCCGCATTGCGCATGCGCCGTGACCCCGACCAGCCGGAGCTGGACCCGGCCGCCATAGTGGAGGACATCAAACAGGTGGGAGCGGGGGTGTGACCCTGGGGCCAGCGTGGGGATTTGGAGCGTCACGCGAGGAGGAGGAGGAGGAGGGGGAGGGAGCGTAAGGTGGCGTGCGGGTCTGAGACAGCGTGCGGATCTGTAATGTTCTTGGCCTGCCTCGTGTCTGGCGCGTTAGATAGGTGACCCAACGCAAGTCCACGTTTCTGGTGTGCACGCTGTCTGGTTCGCAATATGGTGCGTCTGCAGAGCGGCCCAACCCCAAAGCCCTTTTCGCAAAATCATGTGCCGTGTTCCTCAGGTGCAGTGCTGAGTTTGTCAGCGCCGGGTAACCTGACCCCCACAATCCATGGGCGGCTTCATATGATTGTGGCTCCGTTTCCTGCGTTTCGGCAGTTAAAAGCAGAGCATGTGTGGATGCAGGATTAAGCTCATGTAGAAAACACACTTATGTTTTAAACAAGTTCCCTGCCCCCTCCCCATGCAAATGAGATGTTTCCACGGCTGGCTGGTGAGTTCAGGCCGTCATCGGACCCCACTGGGATGAACCGGTGACCGGACCGGACCGGCAGTGGCAGGACACCGCTTCCGGCTCTGGTGGCGCTGCCCCACCGTCACTGTGACGTCACGTGTGGCCGCCAGGCGGCGGCGGAGACGGCGGCTCAGCTGGAGCCGTCTGGACTAGCCTACCAACCAGAGACCGGGCTCTACTACGACCACGACTCCGGCTACTACTGGGACCCGGGTCGCCAGATGTACTACGACGGCACCTCGGGCTACTACCTCAGGTCAGTGCGCCTCCGCGGAGGCTGGTGCCTGTTCCACGGCAACGCTTCCAGCCGCTGCCTAGCTCAGGTCAGAGGCCCTGCCACTGGGATCCGGTCAGGGAAGCGTACCGTGGTCTTAGGTCAGATGCCCTGCCATTGGGACCCGCCCAGGGAAGTGTGCTACGGTCTCAGGTCAGAGACTGACACGGGGACCCGGCCAGGTAAGTGTGCCACGGTAGCATATGTTGCCGCTTCGCAGGGAGGGTGCAGTACGGGACGACACCGATACCATTTAGCACGACTGCACCGCCGGGCTTCAGCCGCTTCGCAGGTAGGGTGCAGTACCGGACGACACCGAGACCATTTAGCACGACTGCACCGCCGGGCTTCAGCCGCTTCTCAGGAATGGTGCAGTACGGGACGACACCGAGACCATTTACCACGACCGCACCGCCGGGCTTGCCGCTGAACTTGTTGTCTTTCTGGCGGAGTACACATGACTGGAGACCAGTGAGCTTCATGTTACAACCATGGGCGTTATAAATGTTTAACCATATTGAGTTGTCAGTAGAGATAATAAAACTGCAAAATCAGAAAGGAAGATGGTGAAGTGGCGTTTGCACTGTTGTTTAATGTATAGTGGCAATGGTGGGATCATCGGCGGGTACATATCCATACGGCGGGCGAAGTCAGAATACACGACTGAGTGTCATCATTATGCACCTACGTTGGTAAAAGTCCGATGTCGGCATACAGTACATACCTTCAGTAGTCTCAGTGCATCCCTTCTGTGGAACTGTAGTGACGGAAGGCGGAATTATTGGCATGGAGGGGTGAACAGAAGAAATGCGAGGTGGAAGACGAACTCAGGAAGCTATAATACGTGGGCGGACTGTGACTGAATGGCGAATTTTGAAGGGTGCTGACTGTCAACTGGGATTCGCGGGGCTGGTGCGTAAAACCGGGAGAAGACATGATATGTGCTGTCGGATCGCTCGTGGAACACACAGATTTGATTCGTGGAGCGTGGTTTTATCGAGGATGGAGTGTGCATTGAGGATTTTATCCTGTCCCAGACCATGACTGGGCTGTAGGGTGTGCAAGCCAGCCAAGTCGGGCATTTGTGTTGGGTCATAGGTGGGTGGATGGGTTATACTGGATGATGCTTTCCGGCCGTTCCAGTTAAAAAGGCGAAGCGCCAGACCAAACCGCGCTGTGGTACTCGATAACGGACCGGAGAGACACAAGGCAGTGATGTGGAAATGCTATGTTCAAGGACTGCAGATTGAACTGGAATTCATGGGGACGCCTCACGGTTTAAGGCGACTCCCTGACCCTTGTCAGTCATGTTGAGTTCCCTTCCCCCCAGGTGTGCACTCACTCCAACTGGTGAAATTAGTGCTCCAGCTTGCGCAGTAAACGTTTGTGACATTGACGCTGACGTAAAAGCCGAGAGACACCCGGCGTCACCTTGTGTTTCATTGGTTATTCACGCCACGGAGACATGCGAGGTCAGTTGCGCGCGAGCGTCTCCGAGGAAAGCCACACTTCTTCGCCGGGAGGGCAGGCAAGCAGTGTTGGAGCTGACACCCGTCCGCGATCTTCTTTTGCATCTTTTGGACAAAGTGGCGGTAGCGTTACTGACGTATAGTTTGTCGCCAAAGCTGGTCTCAGCCTATGGGTGTTTATGCTCCAAGTGTTCTATGATATAGAACAAAACTGATAGCCTACGTCTGAAGAAGAGGGAAGGGGCTATATACCATGCTCCTCTCATCCGTGCTTGCCAACAGTAGAACCCTCTGCCCACAGGTATGACCCGGACAGTGAGTCTTACGTATACGAGCCGTCTCCGAACGGGGAGCAAGCGGACGCGGACGTGACCTCTAACCTGACCTCCGACGTGACCTCTGACCCGGCCGAGCCGCCGCGCCGTCGCCGCTCCGGGGAGGAGCTGGAGGAGGGCGAGATTGAGGACGATGCGGAGGCCGAGGAGGGGACAGGAGCCGCCAGCCGGGCCGTGCTGGAGTACTGGACGGCGGAGAGGATGCGGCGGGCGCGACCGACGTCCCCGCCAGACTACTCTGCCTACGGGGTCAGTGGCTGGGTCACGGAAACGGTGAGCGTGCGCCTGGGCTCCGCTACTGGGCCCCAGATTCAAATAAGCATCCTGGGTTTTGGTATTGGTGGTGGATCCACAAAATCAAATCAGGACCTCAGCATTGAATCTGGTGAAAGTTGGGGTTGTGTGTTGAAGCTGAGTCTTGGGACCTTGACTGCCGTAGTCCTGTCCGCACCGGGCTGTGGCGAACCCGGCGGTTGCAACAGCTGATGTGTGAGCACACAACCCAACGGCACGGGCGCTGATCCGGGAGATAGTGTGGCCAGTTGTCTAACAAAGGCCGTGCTCAAAAAACGCTGAGGCTGTTGGTTACACCAGTGGAAGGTTCCCCTGTGTGTTAGAGAACACCTTAGGTCGTTGGTTACACCCGTAGTGTTGAATTTACCTTCCGTGTTGCGTCGTGCCTTACGACGGATCCGCCGGCAAAATCTGATCTGTTCATTGCCCTTGCCTCGGTCTTTTCTCAAGTTTTGCCTCGCCACGCCCACGTATTGCCAAAAGAGTAACGTAGAACCTCACGCCAGCGGGACGGTGGCGGGTCCGAGCGCGCCCGTGGCGCGCGTGGCCCCCGCCGCGAGCGCCGGCCCTACGCGAGAAGGTGACCGTCCGCCGGCCGTGCCGGCAGCCGGTGGAGCCGACGCCGGCCGTGATCCAGAGCGGGCCGAGGTCGCCGCAGGCCGTCCGCGACCCGCCCTGGCTGAGGATGATCGTCACGGAGACGCAGGTACGTCCGGCCGCCCCTGCTCCGCGGGCCCTTGGGCTGATCCCCGGGCCTGTGACGGGTTCATGTCCACAACTAATGATCATGTCCGCGGTTGATGAGCACGTCCACGTGTCCACGGTTAAAGAACATGTCTATCTGTCCACGGTTAATGAGCATGTCTGTCTATCCACGGTTAATGAGCATGTCCACGTGTCCGCGGTTGATGAGCTTGTCTACTTGTTGACAGTTGATGACCTATCCACCTGTCCGCGGTTGAAATTGAGTGGCGTGTGTACGTATGTGGACGGGTTGGCTGACGTGTCCACCTGTCGCCAGGTGGACGGCCTGCGGGTGGGCTCGCTACACGTGGCCACCATGGACGGACTGACGGTGGGCCGCGACCCCTCGCAGCAGGTGACGTCACACCCCCCCCCCCCCCCAGCTCAGTCAGCGCCAGCGCGGTACTGGCCCAGCTGGCCCAGCGGTACGGTACTGGCCCAGCTGTCCTGTAGGGCCATACTCGCTCGGGGCCCGCACAGCCTGTCCGCGGCGGATCGGCTCGGTCGTTGGATGCGCCCAGGAACACCAGCATTCTATGCAGTCAGGTGTCTCAGCCTCAGCCAGTCTCAGTCAGGAGTTCACAGTCGGCAGTTCGGTGCTGTTTGTTGCTGGTATGGAGAAGTTGCGGGTGTTTGAAAGTGCGATGGTGATCGGAATTATTTCGGTGGCTGGAACGTTGATGTTTCCTTCAGGTCTTGTTGAGCCGACTTACACCAACGGAGTGTTCCCTTGAGTATACTGAAAGCCGGCATCAGATGTACGCGTATATATATATATATATATATATATATATATATATATATATATATGTGTGTATTTATTGTGTAGTATATGTATATGATAAGAATGGTAATAATAATGATAATAATAATAATAATGATAAAATTAGTAATTTTGTTCAAGACCAGCCGCTTTCGAACGGGTAATCGGTCCATACTGGTTGGCGAGGTGCCAGCTGGACGTCGAACAATAGATGTCCGGGAGGTCGATGCTGGCGGCGGATTGCTGACAGTCTCACGGGCGTCGTCCTCAGCTGTACCTGGCCGACACGAGCCTTAGCAAGTTCCACGCCATTATCGGCTACCAGGTAGAGAAGAACGACTTCTACATCCGGGACCTCGGTAGCAGAAACGGCACGTTTGTCGACGGTCGGCGCATATCCGTTGCCAAACAGGTCAGCTAGCGTGCTCGAAGGTTATAGAAACAAAAAACAAAATGACCTTTCTTTCTTCCCATCTCGCAGAAATTTGGTGTTTGGTTTGATGTGTTGTTCATAAACGCGGAGCTCCACCTCTTTCTATGCCGGTATGTCTAGTCTATGGTGGTATGTTATTCTTGTCAGCCCATCAGTAAGGACGCGAAGACATCGTGTGTCATGTCTGCTTCGTGGCACTAGCCTCCATGGTTGAGCTTGATTGATGCGTCCTGCTTTTTAATGTGCTGCATCATCGTCAAGCCACTTCTCCTATATGAACTGATTTGTCTCATTTCACCAGTTCGCAATTATGTGAGCCTGTCAAAACCCCCGCGGCGAAAGTATAGCGTTGTTGTCGACGCCGCTGGTCGAACAGCCTGTGGGGATTGCACATGTGTGCTCTGACACATATGTGGTCTCTGACACATGTCTGATCTCTGACACACATCTGGTCTCTGGCGCATGATGTCCCTGGCACTTGCCATATGTCGGCGCATGGAGACAGCACATTGGGGTCTGACTGTTAACCCAACCTGGCGTGACGTGACGTGACGTGACGTGACGTGACGTGACGTGACGTGACGTGACGTGACGTAACCTGACGTGACGTGGCCGGCAGGAATCCGAGGACACCTCGCTCCCGCACGGCTGCAGACTCCGTCTGGGCTCCACGTGCCTCGTGTGCCACGTGCACGCGGCCAACGACACATGCCTGGACTGCGAGCCGGGCCACACGCAGGCGCCGCCCGCCCCCCTGCGGCCCGCGCCGGGCAACGGCGACGTCCGGCAGCAGCGCCGCCAGGTGGCCGATCGCATCAAGCGGAAGTACGGCCTGCGCGCGGGAGATGGCGCTGCAGTCGGCGCGTCTCGCGGCTACGCGGACAGGGCAGCGGCGCGGCGCCTGGCGAAAGGCTCCGTCCACTCGGCCGAGAAGACGGAGACTGCCGACGTTACGCGAGCGATTCCGGCGAAGAACAAGGGCTTCCAGCTGCTGCAGCAGATGGGCTGGCAAGCGGGCCGCGGGCTGGGAGCCGCCGGCCAGGGCGCCGTCGAGCCAATCAGCGTCGAGGAACGCGGCGAGAGGCGGGGCCTCGGCTGCCGGGAGCCGGTGCTGCCATCTGCCGGTCTGGCGGAGAAGCGCAAGACTGAGGTGTGGCAGAAGACGCAAGAGCGCTTCCGCAAGCTAGTGTGACGTCTGTGTGCGTGTGTCTAGCGGGGAGGGGGGGGGGGGGGGGGGAGGGTGTGGAGGGGCGTGGTTGCCGGGCGCGCCGTGATCAGTTGTGATGTGCGTGACCACGAGTGTTTCAGTTGTGCTGGTGTTCCAGTTTCGCACCGGCTATATACTGTTGATTGTGATCAAGCCAATTGTGACTTAATACACATCTGAAGATTTATTGTTTGTGTGAGGACATTCAGAAAGTTAGCACAAGACATTCTCGGGTGCAGGCCATAGTTTGAGTGCAGTTGTGCCCCGGAGTTCAGTTTTATTGGACAGTTAACCAATGAACTGTTAACACATCAATCACACTACAATTATCATTTTGTTGAGAAACCTTTCTGATAGTGTCGGGCTCCAGGACATCAGCATTGCACGCGTTCGATGGTGATACAAGTCCCTCCTAGTGGGTTATCTGAGCTCCATCCGCGCCGCCTGGAATGGAGAACCTATGGACGAAGGCCGGGAGAGAGCGGAGCAGCGGCGCCGGTCTGTCGGCCCGTCCAGCCCTGGCCGCGCGGCCAGCGCCTGGAAAGTGCGCCTGATCCGCACAGCAGGTGTGCACTGCGGCACAGCGTCAGAAGCGCCCTTGCGCCGCTACCGACTGCAGCAGACGCGCGGAACGTTAAGCCTCTTAGTAGTAAGGCGGAGCTCACGTGGTGGGCGGGGCAAAGGGCTGTTAAGACCTTACAGATTTAATCGGACCCGGCGATTTAAGTATGGGGGATATAATCGGCGATTTAAGTAGCTGGGTTTCTGGTATCAGAGCTCACGCTAAACAGTGCTTGTGTGGGCCCTGACCCCCACCATTTGATGGTGCAATTCCAGGTGTACCGCAAGATCTGGTGGCAAAAGTTTAACTACTGCAATGCTCGGCGCGGTCCGTCTTACTCCCTGACGTCATCTGACTCATCGGGACCGCTGCCACTGCCCGCACGCTACACCTGTCAAGGGCGAATAGCGGGCGCTTATAGCGGCCCGAACCCACCCTGCCACGGTGGATGGATGGGGGGGGGGAGGGGGGGGGGGGGGCGGGGCGCTCTAACCAACTAAGCCATCGGGACGGTCAAATGGGACCGGACGGGACGGGACGGACAGCTTTGCCTCTGCTAAAATGTGTTTGCTTGATGCGCATGAACAGTTTGTTATGTGCGTTCGGAAAGCATGGGTTCCATATAGCTGTGGAGAAACTGAAGTTTGGCCGCTTGGCGAGCGCACAACGGGGATTTTTCTCGAAAAACTCTGCAGAACGACATGAAAGCGGTGAAGCACCTTCCGTGGATTGCCCATCAACATTACGGCTCCTGTGGGGAAGGAGAATGTGTGGATAAATTTAAAATAGGAAATATAGTGGGTGCACTTGGATATTTCTGTTGTCGTTTTCAGGCTCACACTCACACTTAAAGGCATCAAACATCCGCGTTGGATATGTCCGAACGGTCATGAGGATTTCGTGCCGTCGTGAGGACGGCGTGAGGAATTTCGTGACGTCACAAGGAATGGTTTATCCCTCCGAAGCGCACTACTAGTAAATAGCCTCCATTTTGTTCATTCTATTCCAAGCCCAACGGAAAGCGATTACTTTGGGACCTCGATGTCAGGAGATTTTAATGATAGGCAGGTTAGATTTTGGGACTAAATGCGACTCGTCTTCCAACATTCTGTAATTCACCAATTCATTGTCCATCCCTGTACCACAGAAACGGTTAAAAAAACTGAACCTGTGTGTCCAGACACGAAGGGTACAAATTTTATTGCTCAAAATCGACGGTACAATGAACAAGCACCCAAATGTGCCACAGTATCCTCGACCTGGTCACATTGCATTCCCTTCGAGGCAAGTCATTCCCGCGAGTCCGCCCCGTCCTATTCGCGACCAGCGTCTCGGCAACGTTATGCGCCCGAATGCCTTTCCTACATTAAAAAATGCTGAAGAGTCCTCTAGATAAAGTAGCTTGCTGAGGGTTATTCCGCGCAGCACGTTCTACTGATAACACAAATGGATGTTGTTCAATCAACGTTAACTCGACCGGGTCGCGGTACAGCCCCGTTCGCGAGTCTAGTGACGAACTGCGAGGGCATGATCACGTTTGCCGTTTTCGCTAGTTAAATTCTGATTGGTCGAGTCCGCTCCGCCTCCGCTGCATACTCCACATACGTCACCGAGCGCGGCTGAGCCAGCGGAGTCGCCAGCGCCGCCGTGCTGCGCGCTCGGTGGCGGCGCTTCGGCTTCCGGAGTAGATCACCACCAGTATCACCAGTAGACAATGATCTTTTCGTGGCACTCTCGTCCCCTCGTGTCCCCGTACCACTTCCGTTCCCGTGTCTTCCCGCATCACCTCCGTTCCGTGTCTTCCTGCATCACTGCCGTTCCCGTGTCTTCCCGTATCACTCTGTGACTGGACAGGCTTGCGCTCAGGGTGTCACGACCTTGAGCCGGGCGCGTTCCCCGCTAGACTGCTGAAGCCCGAGCTGTTGACATTGGACACAGTCTCCCCCTGGGAGTCTCAGCCGACGGGCAGTGCCGCGTTTGCGATGTTCGCCTGGGTGTGAGACGCCGTCCCCTCCCAGCAGCCGAGAGCAGAAGAACGGGGTGGCAGACCCAGCCATGGATGCACTCGAGGTCATGCCAGTAAAAAGTCTTGTGCCAGTCCTACTGTTTTCCAAAACAACGTCATTCGAAATGTTGTGCGAGGGCGGCAATGATCCCAGGGCCCACACTGTTCGCAAATTTTTATGCGTACATACACTGTGCCCCACACTGTGTGCATTCACTGTGTTCCACCGATCCGGGATGAATACACAACTTGCCTCCGGTCACCGGCTCGGAGCCAACCCGGTGACTTGTCTCTTCCCAGCTCCCCAGCTGCTCACGCGAACACAGAGCAGCCGTCGTCTCAATCCGGCAGTGGGACAGCGCTGCATGTCCTAACAAACACTCCGTCTCGGCTGGAAGTCTGCTGGAGGCCATCGGCGGCGGCGGCCGGCTGCATCAGACCCCGGCGAGGCCTGCGTCGCGGCCGGCCCGCCCCGCCGCCGGCTCAGTCGGGCATGAACACGCTGTTGGCGACGCCCGTGGCCGGTGCTCTGCACACGACCTCGCCCAGGTCGATGGAGGAGCGGATGCTGGTCTTGCGCGACTCGCTCTCCTCGGCGATGACTGAGAGCGCCTTTACGCTGAGGAACGCCCCCGCTGACTCCCTCTGGCGCTCCATCAGCGCGTTCCAGATCAGCGTCACCTGCCGCACACGGGAGGGTGCTGCGTGGTGCTGGGCGCTTCCGCTGAGGCCTATGAGGTTTGATTTGTGATTGGTACGCATTTTTCTCGCAGGAGAAACACAATAATCGTGGCGGTCCAAGAGGCGGAGGCAGCGAGTTTTGATAATACTGCTCAAATAGTTGCGATTAAAATAATACGCAAATAATAAAACTGTGATTCACGGCAAATGCCACCTATGGAAGGATGATATACCTGAGCTGAACATACGTCATTAATTTTAATACAATGGTGCAACTGGGCCTGCGAGGTTGAGACGGGTCCTCACACAGCATTAGACAGGTCCAGCAGCGTTAGCGGAGGTGGTGCCGCCCTATCGGTGACCTTACGTACCTCGCGAAACCGCGTCTCGTCCAGCCGCGTACTCCTCGCCTCCGACGCAGGCTGCGTCACCAGGACAACGGGGGCCGGCAACCCCGCCGGCGCGGACGGGGTCGCCGCGACGGTGGCGCCGCTCTGGCGGCCCTCCGGCGGAAACTCGGCCAGGGTGCGGGCGCGCCGAAGCGGCGGCGCTCGGCGGCGCGGGTCGGTGGAGAGGCTGGAGCGGAGTGTGGTGCGCGAGGGCATGCTGCTGGCGCGCACAGACCAGCCCACCCGGCTGCTGCCGCCCGTCCGGAACGCTTGGTACTTCACCTGCGGCGCAGCGGGCAGAGCGTGCGACGGCGGCGGAGACAGGGAGCGGCAGCGACGGCAGCGGAGACAGGGAGCGGCAGGCGGTAGTGAGGGGGGATGGGGAGCGGTGGGGCGAACCTGGAGACAGCCAACAGATGGTTGCTGAGCGAAGTTTCGCGGCGGGGACAGATAACAGCGAAGCTACTCGGTATCAGGGAGACAACGCTGACATTGCTTGGTGTTAAATGCAGGCATCGCCCACGTTACTCCGCGTCAGATCCAGATCACAACAATTGTGCAGCCATGGGGAAGGGCCCGGGGGAGAGGGAAGGGGGACCTCTCTACACCCGACTTTTTCCGTTGTCACGATAAATAGCTCACAACAGAAATGTAAAAGTCGGCATGATGCGCACCCGCGGAGATCTGCCCCCCCCCCCCCCCCTCTCTCTCTCTCTCTCTCTCTCTCTCTCTCTCTCTCTCTCTCTCTCAAAGCTCTGCTAAAGGGAGTATCCCACCTTTGGGGCATGCTGGAAAAAATACTCTAGTGAAACCTCAGGACCAGTTACGTCTAATAGTAATACTATGTAATGTCGCTGCACCACCGCCAAGACATCATAATTATATCAATTTTAATTATTTTCTAATCCAAAGTACGCTGTAAACACTTTGTGGCGGGACTACGCTTCTTCCCTGCAGTCGCGATCGTCATCATGACAACCGTGCGCACCTTTGTTGGTGCAATAAAAGAACGTGTGTGATTGGCCGGTGGGCAAGGGACTGTTACCGAGAAGTTGGTTGGTCAATGTTTGAACCAGTGGGTCACATGGATCATGTGGTGCTCACACTTCCAAAGCCAAAGTTCGCCTCGAAAGAGCCACCGCGGTAAACGCAATAGTGGATAAATCATAGTCACAGCGTTGCGTCTCGTTGAATTCGCGGGTGAACAACTTCATGTTTGCCTATCTTTTTGTTTAAACAGAGGGTTTCAACTTTTTGTAGTATGTATTACGCAAACATTTCGACACATAAGTATGTTACAAATATAATATAACGCGCATGTTGGAAAAAGTAAGGCAGGTGAAACATTTTACTTTCATGGTGGGGAGCATGGAGCTAAATGAGATTTCTCCCGCACGGTTGGCTACTTCAAATGGAAGATTTTGAGCAATTTGGAAGAATTTTGAGGAAATTGCGAATACTGATCGAATCGTCCGCGTCTGATGTAACAATAAGTGCAAAGTACAAAGATGGTGGGATATTATCTTCAAAAAATACTGGTCACGCCTCTAGGCGGCAGTGACCTTGTTCGGTATCAGCTCCCGATTACACGAACAACGAGCGTTTTCAGAGACTGATGTGCCGACCTTCATCACAACTAGAGACAACTGACATACCCTGGTAGGTACAAAGACAGAGGGAACCGATCTGGCTCGTTGTCGGATACACATGACACTGGCGTCCCCTGGTAGTGGAGACGGATGACGTCACCACGGCCCGGTAGCCAGGGGCGGGTGACACTGACCCTGCTTGGTCACCAGGGGCGGGTGACACTGACCCTGCTCGGTAGCCAGGGGCAGGTAACACTGACCTTACTCGGTAGCCAGGGGCAGGTGACACTGACCTTGCTCGGCAGCCAGGGGCAGGTGACGGTAGCCGCTCGTCGGAAGTTTTCGTGCATAAGAGCGTATAACAGCGGATTGATAACCGGGACCAGGTACATCATGAAGTGGCTGATGTAGTAGAGAACGGTGATCCATTGTTTACTTCTCTGTCAAAGGTAGTGTGGTACATTTTCAGACTTTCTGAGATTTTCCGATGTAATCAACACAGTTGTAACATTATGATTTCGGATCACGTTTGGTTGGACTTAAAGCACGCTTCAAAAATCGTGTTCGAAACTTGCTTACGGGTGCTCTGGGTTTTTATGAATGGTCGATAACGATGAATTGAACCAACTGTATCCATTGCAATTACGAGCTATCACCGAAACAAGAAATATTGGGCAGTCAATGTCCTATACTTTACGGGTACTTGTACGGCTTGCATAAATTCGTATAGCTTTCTTCTGCAGCAATTATACGCTGCCGGGACGAGGCAGAGACAACAAGGAGACAAGCACTATAAAACAAAACACTAGTATCGTTCTGCTCAACAGCAGAAATGTCCGAGCGTCTCCATTTGCTAGCCTACCTCGCTGTTATGGTCTTCTCTTCTGTACTGGTAAATGACGACGTACACGAGAAATGGCGACCAGCAGACAAAAAAAGTGAACAAACATGGAGAAGGACACAGCGTGACGGCTCGCTCGCGGGACCGAGCTAGACTACCGGCGGCACAAAACCTGACGGCACAGGGCAGGCGCCGTGCACGGACAGGTGACGGCTCGCTCGCGGGGACCGAGGACTAACCGGCGGCACAAAACCTGACGGCACAGGGCAGGCGCCGTCACGGACATGGTGACGGCTCGCTCGCGGGACCGAGCTACCGGCGGCAACAAAACCTGACGGCACAGGGCAGGGCGCCGTCACGGACAGGGTGACGGCCAGCCGTCACTTCACAATAATGCTGTAAGCAGTGCCTCACATGGTCTTTTGCGGGGCTGAACGAGCGTTAGGCTCTGCTGCGCCCAACGCCTTTCACAATACCGCTCACAAGACCACGGCCTCGCTGCCAGGGGGCCATGTTGCATGAAGACGGTACTGTCTGTGCGAAGAGGCCGGTATAGGCTGTGCGACCCGGAGGTCAGGAGAACACAGCTAGAGCTAGAGCAAACCTGATGTAGGGTAAGCCAGGTGGCAGAAGTCGTGATCAGGCTTGACGCCATTGCAAACTTTGACATACTTTACCACAAAAGAATGTAAATGTTTGGAATCATTACTGAAAATAAGCTTTAGTCTAGGACTCTAGGAAATTACCAATCGTAACCCCGTACAGCGCGTTACTCACGGAGCTGTCCGCTCTTCTTTTGGCTGAGGTTGAAGTGGCGCAGCTTGATGAAAATGAGTATGAAGCAGGTGAAGAGGATGCCGGCCGGGACCCAGACCAGGCATATCGCGATCACCCACCAGTACTTCTTCATGGCGGAATCTTCTTCGCAGAATTTGTCTAGGAAATCATGGTACTGCCTCATCTGAGAAAACGAGGAACAAACTTGTGCGGCTGCTAATGAGCCTTGAGTTTCCGTGTGGTGGTGGACGACCAAGCATCTGTCTAGCTCACTGGCAAGGCTCATCAACTGCTGCCAGAATCTGCCCCGTGCAACGTACAAAACTTTCATGGCGTGGTACAAAACTGTGCGTAGCTAATTTTTCGACTTGGCAATCAGCTGCTGAGCTAGAGCAAACCTGAGCAAAAAAGGGTTACTGCCAATGCTAGCAATGTCTGAGACAGCAATGATGTAATCGACAGCACAGGCCAGGCGCTAGCGTTCATTCAACACTTCCCCACATTTCGGCAACTGAAAGCGCGCACCACCCCCACAGCTAAAGATCTCTCCCGATCAGTCCTGTAACCAGTCACCGCACGAGCTTCGTGATGCGTGCGGTTGGTGGCTATTCCTCTTACTCCATATTTTGTCAGCTGCGACGGGCAGAAGGCCATGCCTCTTACCCCATATTTTGTCTACACAACCCACACAACCCATACTTCGTCAGCTGCGACGGGTAGAAGGCCACCGCAGGTGGCCTTCTGCCCACGCCATGGCCACCCCTGCCCACCCCATGGGACGGGTAGAAGACCACCGCAGCTTACCCCATATTTTGTCAGCTGCGACGGGTAGAAGGCCACCGCAGCGGCCACCACCCATGTAGCGAGCATGATGAACTTGGTGGTGAGGGGACGGAACTGTTTGTGAAACGGCTTTAGAAGCCCCCAGAGCCGGTCAACGCTGATCACTGACAGGCTGAATACTGACGTCAGCAGGAGCGTCACTGAAACACATACGACGGTCAGCAGGAAAGTCACTGAAACACAGGCGAAGGTCAGCAGGAGAGTCACTGAAACACAGGCGAAGGTCAGCAGGAGAATCACTGAAACACAGCTGAAGGTCAACAGGAGCGTGGCTGAAACACGGCCGAAGGTCAGCAGGAGCGTAACTGAAACGCAGGCGAAGGTCAGCAGGAGCGTCACTAAAACGCAGGCGAAGGTCAGCAGGAGAATCACTGAAACACAGCCGAAGGCCAGCAGGAGCGTCACTGAAGCACAGACGAAGGTCAGCAGAGGTACCAACAAAACGCAGAGGGAATGAGCGGCATTACTGAAACACGCTCAGATTCACGTGGCGCGTCTCTGTAGCACATGGTAACCGCTGGTGGTGGACGGTGCAGTGAAAGTCGACCATGGTGGTGATCCGGATATATCTATTTCTATCTATCTATCTGTCTATATAATATTTATATATATATCTATATATATATATATATATATATATATAATATATGTCTACACAACCCACACCATGCACCACGGGAATGGTGCCCACGGGAACTGGCCACCATATATATTATATATTATATATGTGATGTGTTTGTGTGTGTGTGTGTGTGTGTGTGCGTATGGCGATGACCGCAGCCGCTAGAATTGCATGTACTGGTGTGACGAAAATACTCCATTCAACTTAAGCTCTAAATTTCGATTTGAGTGAAACAGATAAGCGTATGTCTGTTCTTCACAATGAAAGATGTATTCCTCAGTAAGCTCTGCAAACCACATATGCATGCACTGAAGTGGCCAACAGAATCTTTGCCACGATGGACAAGGGGAACATATCAGCGCAGTGGTCCTCGATGTATCTAAATAAGTTCCTGCTGTAAGCCATGCTGTTACGATGTCACTGTTGAACTTCACAACACCGAAACTGTCCCATCCAAGACGACACAACCTAAGTTAGGAGTGGAGCAGCAGACGTAGAGATCCCAAAAACGACATGCTTCCGTGCGTGTTGAGGATGATATTTTAAGAATATCGCTGGGAATGAAGCTAGAGTTTTGATGAACCTGTGGCTAATTATAGGAATGCGACGACAATTTCGCCGCGTCCTTTTAATCACAGACAACGACGCACAGACATGCTGTGGAGCAATACATCACATCGGACGGTCTCTCCGTACGGCAGCACGTCCTCGGTAAAGATATACCGCACACTGTCGGTGCTATCAGCGGACACGGCAGCACGCCCTCGGTAAACATATACCGCACACTGTCGGTGCTATCAGCGGACACTCTTTCTGCGCACTCTTATACCTACTGGGCATAAGCATACTGCTGTCTAGCACTTTGCGTCATGAGCATAGTTACATCTAGCACTCTGCCTTCCATGAGCATAGTCACATCTAGTACTCTGCGTTCCATAAGCGTACTCACATCTAACACTCCCCGTTCCATGAGCGTACTCACATCTAACACTCTCGCCGTACGTACACCAGCCTTCGCCGAGTTCGTAAGCCTGGAACACCGTGCCCACCATGAACGTGATGGGCAGCACCGCTGCGACGATCAGGTCGGCCGTCGCCATGTTCAGGATGAACATGTTGATCTCGTTCCGCATGACTCCTGCAGCGAGGCGGGTGACGGGGTCACTCAGATATGGAGTGATGCGACGACGGCACACAGGCTAGAGAGGCGAGAGGTGACACTGGAGAGGCGGGAGGCGACACCAGAGAGGCGGGAGGCGACACTGGAGAGGCGGGAGACGACACCAGAGAGGCGGCGAGGCGACACTAGAGAGGCAGGGAGGCGACACTAGAGAGGCGGGAGACGACACCAGAGAGGCGGAAGGCGATCTAGAGAGGTGAGAAGCGACAGTAGAAAGGCGAGAGGCGACATTAGTAAGGCGTGAGGCGACACTAGAAAGGCGGGAGGCGACACCAGAGAGGTGAAAGGCGATCTAGAGAGGTCAGCAGCGACAGTAGAGAGGCGAGAGGCGACATTAGAGGCGAGAAGCGACACTAGAGAGGCAAGAGGCGACACCAGAGAGGCGAAAGGCGATCTAGAGAGGTGAGAGGCGGCAGTAGAGAGGCGAGAGGCAATATTGGTGAGGCGAGAGGCAACACTAGAGAGGCGAGAGGCGACCGAAAATTGAACGGATGGTGGGTGAAACTGGGCATAAGTTTCGGACAGCAATCACAAAGACAGTGCTGCAACTAACTTATCATGCCCAAATCGTCGCTTGACTGGCAAAACGCCTCACAGCTCCGGATGGGCATCAAGGACGGCGAGCTAAATGGAGGTATCTGATAACGATCTACGGAGCGGGCAAATGAGCTGACGGAAAATACGACAGAAAGGAACCGGACAGCGGACGCATTCGTGCCATACGCGGAATGGAAAGGGTGCAGGAGTCGGTAACGCTACAGATCACAAGCGCTCGCGCTCGATCCTCAGCGGCTGAAATTTTTGCTTTAACCCCAATACGACTTTTTAACACCAGCTATCTTGAACACTAGAAGATACACTTGTCGCCTGAGCTATGCCCAGCATGTAAGATTCCACCTGGTAAGTGGCACCAGCTCCGGCATCTGACGCCTGTATCAATACGGCGCCATATCAGAGCATTGGAAAAACGACACCGCGATAGTGGTCCCACGATAAACACCATCTGCTCGCGGGCAGATGTCTCCCACGGATCTGGTCAGTCGCTTGCACCGGTGGCGAAACGAAGATAGCAGAGGGCACACCGGGGCGCCGAAATCGCCGCCTCAGTGTGCGAACTGATTTATCACGCATTTGTCAAGACGACGAAACGCATGAGATCGACAGCCACGAATATGACAAGTTTATTTTGCTGGGATAGCATCTTCGCTCATCGCTGCTTTCTGCGCAAAGCGCCATCCAACCTTGTGGGGGTCCGATCACTCAGCGTATATATACTTGAGCTGGCCCGGTGTGCGGCAGGGCATTTAATGTATCAAAATGCAATACAAAAACGCTTTTTAATTTTAGCATTTAGCTCGCGAGCCGTCGAACGGAAATAAAACGAAAGTTTGGCTGACACATGGTGTTAAGAGATCACTTCCGTATAGCCGGTAGTTACACGTCGTGTGTTTGGCACACGTGTGTTACACGTCGCGCTTGTGTTTGGCACGTGGTCCATGGTTGATTTCTATACATTGCTCTGCCATATTGTCTGATGTTCGTGGTTTCACACTTACATCTACACTGATATTGATGGTGGTGATCAGCGCCCAGACATGCGATACCCTCTGTGGATCACGCCCGCCTATCAGTGCACCTCACTTCAGGCTGATCTCGTTGGTTTAGTCTAGTATCAGCGGTGATGGCCTGTACGTGGAATCTTTCGCAAGCACTAAAGTCTGGCGGTAGACCAGCGACCACACTGCAGCTATCGCCGTGGCAACGTTTGATATGCTCTCCACAAACACACCTTTAATGGGCCGGCGACTTAATGTCACAGCGAAATGCCCGGGATCTTGAGGAAGTTCAATATTAGCAGAGTGTAACAATGCAGTTCCCTGCTCTCGAGCGGCTTGAAGCCAGGTGCAGCTCCTCTGACCGTCCTTAAGTTTCTTATCTCTCGCGAGACGGGAGATATTTTCAACTGCCGTTCAGTCGGCGACGGGACTGCCGCATGGCAGCTCAGCCGCCCCTGATTAAAAGGAAATGCTCCACATTTGAAGAGTATTGAGGCAGGCATCAGATGTTATTGGATAAGTTCACTTGTACTATTATTGGTATGCTGTTAACTGGAACAACACTGTTTTAGACAACTCGATATCTCTGTTTAGTAAACGCGTTGTACTACACACCATTGTTTGATCTCGTCATCGTAACCTGCACAACAATGACTGAGAGCCAATTGGCGGCCATTTATCAGGAAGGCGCGATCACAAACGCCAGATATGAACGTCTCGAAAATTATATGTTCTGGGCCTTGACCGCCGTCTGGCCAATGGAATGATGGCTATCTAAATTCAAAACTTCATACCAATATGGAACGCGCTCTTTAACCTAGAAAGTACGGAATGAAAGGCAACCGGTCTGGTCAGGTAAGGCCAAATCACGTTTGTGCCCACACTGCGTTGTCTTCACATATAACTGACAT